TAATTAAAATATCTAATCAAGCATGATTCAAAAACATAGTCTCATCTTTCTTCGTTCACTCGTCTACTGACAAATGACACCTGAGATATATACATGTATAGTATAAGCAAAAAGCTTAGTGAATACAACATGGTTTCATGATCACATGCACACACAAAACAGTGTTTTAGTGTATTTTGATTATTATCTTGCAAGTGAGGCATCGGCTCGTCACTTTTCTTTGCGTATGTGGCGTATTCTATGGACGAGGACTCCAAGACCTCGGAATTGCAAGCCCTCCTTTCATGTCCAACCCACCCCGTACGGTGGACGAATCTTGCTGAATCATACTAGTTGCATATCATTTATTTGCAATACTCACTCATTAATGCAAATCTCATCGTGACATGCAACATATATCTCATGCAAGTGACAACATAAATCACATATGCATCATCGTCATTTATCACATTATACACATACTTGAATATCATATTGATAATATCAAGTCATCATAATCTTTTTCATCCACATCATATTTCATAAAAGACATATACTTAAATATCATGCACATTAAATAATCAAGTTATCATCATATGCATATAAACACATCATGCAAATATCATGGATAAAATACYTTTGTAATAATCATGTATATATCCCATAAAAATMGCATAATGTACTCACCTTGAATCGTTAACGTTCGATAGGTCGTTCTCTCAAAAACGGCAACCTACATGATAATTTATACCAATCCTAAGCATATTAAATAATCGTAATTAAATTGATTACTATTCCTTATAAATCTTAACACGGCTTTTCTTTTTATTGATCAACCCCCAATAACATCATATCTCATGTTTTACTCCAATATTTTCTTGAAATATTATTAATAATGTGACRTCGTTAAATATTAATTGTTGCTCGTTCATTTTATAAAATAAGCAATATACTTCACATTTTCATGAATAATAATTATTCTACTAAAATAACTAAATTAAATAGTTCGCAACGTAAATAATGTTTTGCGACCAAAACGTCTCGTTTAAAATTTATAAGTGAATAATGGTGACAACATGTCACACCCATATAAATAATGGTCATCTCATAACTTTAAGGTTCAACATAACTAATACTCGAAATAATGTTTAGAATACCAATTTTCCAAGTCTAGGGGCATTT